GAACCGAACCAGATGAATAAGCGTAAGCTTGTTGTATGATTATCACCTTTCGTCTTTTGCGTTTGCGATACTAACTAGATCGTCCGAATTCAACCTCACAGCAGTATAAGTGTCTAAACAACAAAATCTAACCGCTATATCAAAATGATAACTTTAAAGTTGCTTTAAAAATGTAGCATTTCTAAAATTATCTTCTTTAGTTGGATATCAAATTTAACACCAACTCAACTTTTCTGTCCATTTGGTATATCTTCGGAATAAAAAGATTCAATCATTGCAAACTAAATTCTTAGCAAAGATGGGATTAAGCAACTACTTGCTCTACCATATATTGAGCGCTAGTGATAGTAATAATTACTGAGTTAATCAAAAATTATTTGAATATCTCTGCCACCTTTTTCAAAAACTCACAAGTTTGTTCTGGCAGTCTAACATCAGGTTGTTCAATTTCGTTTTTAAAGGCAAGTGTTTGAAGAGAGCGAATTTGGCAGCATTTTGCAAGTCATTCGAAAGTAGAACTCTCTCTCTCTCAACAAAACATCCTTAGCTTATTCAATGATTTCAATTTTGAAAATTGAGCGAGAAATGTATTTCCAGAACATTAAAGGAGCTCAACTGACAGCTTTTCGGATTGCAAGAAAAGTTGCTGCCTACTATCTTATGTGATTGCGTGTCACAAAAATTACATCCGTTTCCAAGAGGACTTACTATGGGGTTACTGTAGATAATGCTACACTAGTCAAAGTCAGGCATTTGTAAAGTGGTCTAGGGGTTTACTTGATATGCTGTTTTACCTTGGCGGTGATCGTTAAATGAAACCGAGAAATATTAATAGCCTGAGTAGTATTGGCTATTCATCAATTTTTACAAAGTAAAAATTGATGGATAGCTAATGCTACTCAGGCAGAAGTTTGTGGATTGTGAAGAATCATAATTCATCATCGTGCTGATGATTTAAATCGCTCTTAGAATAAATCAATGACAATCATTTTAAACCTCCTTTCTGCTTCGAACATAGCTTTGATTACATTAAACTTCTGAAATTTAGTGTACCTGCATCC